AGCTAAATCCCCAGCCCCCAAGGGTACCTTCTTTTACCTTTTCTTGTATATAACTTAATACTATGTAGTTTAAATGATTTTGAACTTTCAGACAATATCTCCATCTGAGGCCTTGGGTGACTGGATGCACTATTAGCAGTAATTTTTTTTTCCCCTGAGCAATAGATCTTAATAGTACACCTTAAATATTCAATAGACCGCTGTAAACAGATGTGCTGTCCTTTGGTTTTGCTGTTCCACTTAGAAAGCTCTAGCAGAGTAGATTTACTATAATTCTTAAGGACCTTAGGAGCTTTTGGAGTGAGAAGTGAGCATTATTAGCTTCAGCTTAAAACCACCAGCTGGGTTAGCTTCTAACAGTCTTTCCTTTGAAGAAAGATACTGACTGCTGATTAGCTATGAAAGTTCTCCATGTTATATTTTCTCAAAATAAAACCGTTTCCTCTGCATTGAAAATGTTGTTTAGTATAACCACCTCATCCCTTACTGTCCCTAGGTCTTCTAGATAATTTGCTGTAGTTTCTACATAAGTATGTTCTGCCTCGCCTTACACTTCGCCTTCCCTAAATCTCACTAACCTACCTCTGCTGGCTTTGGACTTGCCTTCCCCAGCCTCCTCACCTCTGGATTAGAATATGGCCAAAGGCTATATTAATGTTGGGTCTTCCGTTAGACCACTGAAACTTTCCAGGTCAGCATTAAGACTGTTTCACCTTCTTATAGTTCCTGTGTACACTGGAGTCACGCTTTTAACTTCCATTAAAATCTTCTTCTTTGTTTTCACTGCTTTGCTCTTTGGTGCAAGAGGCCTAGCTTCTGACCTTTCTCACCTTTTGCTGTACTTTTCTCACCAAAATAGAATTATTTCTAGCTTTCACTTAAAGTGAGAACCATGTGGCTGTTCTCTTCACTTAAACACTTGAGGCCATTGTAGGATTATTAACTGATATAACTTAAAACCCTTTCGGGTTCAAGGGGATAGGGAGCAGTCAGAACACACATACCGTTTATTAAGTTCAAAGTCTTGAATAGGTGTGGTTCATGCTGCCCAAAAACAATTACAGTAGTGACATCAGAGGTCATAGACAAGACGGTGACGGAAAAAGTTTGACGTACACCAAATTGTGACATGCAGATGCAAAGTGAACACTTGCTGTTTGAAAATGGACTAGCTCAGGGGCCGGGGATTTAGCTCAGCGGCAAAAGCGCCTGCCTGGCAAGCTCAAGGTCGTGAGTTCGGTTCCCGGTACCGGAGAAAAAAAACAAAAAACAAAAACGAAAATGGACTAGCTCAGTGTGGGATTGTCACATATCTAGAATTTGTAAAAATATCTCTAAAGCACGATACAACAAAGGACAATGACCTAAGATGTACTCTTATCTTCAAGTGTAAACGAGCGATTCTCAGACTTCTCAGGCGCCTGTGTGAGAAGACCATGAAATAATATGCACAGAGTTCTAAGGAGAATGTTTGCATTTGGTCAAGTTGTGCATCCTATATTAAGGCAACAGCAGGCATCGTCAAGCTTGTGAGAGTTCACTTCGCACTGATACAAGAATCACTTGCTGACATCCAGTCAACAAAACTATGACATTAAGGAAGAACTAAAGTTTAGAGGAGCTATATATAGAGTATGGAATCCAATTTAATACAGATTCAAGCAGTCATGAACTTATAGTTCATAATAAATTTTTACCAAATAAAAATAGTTCACAAAAATGGAGAGGAGTGTTTATATGTGTGTGCGGATCGCCACATTTCTCACTGCGAGAAACAGAAGGGTTACTACCTAAAATTTAAATGTGTGGCTAAATAAAGGGCCTCCACCTGCTTTATGTTCTCATAGTTTTCTTTTCCTAATCTTTAAAGGGGTAATTTAGAGGACTGGGGGGTTATATTCTAAATTTCTAAGTGACATTTAACAGCTCTTTTAGATTCATTTCCTTTTTTTCCTATAAATTCAGTTTCTGTTAAATCTTTGAAACAAAATGTCTAGTAAAAACTATAACAATGTTTAAGAAAAAAAAAACAATGTTTAAGAGTAAATTCTGGATCTACATTGCTAGTGTGGCTGTGGGAATTTTACTACATTCACTGTCTCTGAGTTTATTTGTAAAATATGAATAATTACCCCATTTTACCCATATAAAGTTCTTAGTACAAGACTCACATGTTACCTATAATTACCACTTCTCTGTCCTTTAGTTGTAGCAATACGTCTGTAATGATATTCACCAGATGTTAATGATGGTTATTTCTTGGTAAGATTTGGGGAGATTTTTTTTTCCTTCTCTATGCATTTCTTTGGATTGCTTATTTTCTTTACTGTACATAACACAAAGCAGTCTGGATACAAATGTATCTGTTGTCCCAGCGGATATTTTGTTTCTGAATTCTCAGTTCTCAAGCCTACAAATCTGTATGTTTAAAATGCTTCTCAAGCGATTCTTCTGAGGCATAATGTTTAGAAAGTACCATGTTTGGAAAGCACTTGGCATATGTAAGCCCCTCCCCAACTGCAGTAAATATAGAAGAGCCCTTAACATACAGCGTGATTAAGCAATCTCTTCCTCCAATCTGGTCTACTTCACTCTGGTGAAAAATTTGAAGAGGTGGACATGCTGACTTTTGCCAGAACTCTGAGAGTGCTTTGGGGTGAGGAGCATTCCACCTACGTGAGATGACTTTCATACTGCCACACCAGGAAAGAAAAGTAATTTACAGATATCTAGTCATCAGGTAGGAGTCCTTGAAATGGGGAGAGGATGGGGTAAAATCAGCAAGGAGAAGCCAGCATATATATGTACTATTCTGAGAGATATTGTGTATATAATACTCTGAGTGATAATACTCTTGAGAAGAGTGAAAGAGTATAGCAAACATTAAACAGCATGACAAAGTTTTTTTTTTTTTTTTTTTTTGGTTTTCTCCGGTACCGGGAACCGAACTCACGACCTTGCACTTGCCAGGCAGGCGCTTTTGCCGCTGAGCTAAATCCCGAGCCCCCGACAAAGTATTTTTAATCTTTAAAACAACTTATGTAACACAAAGGAGTGTTTTTCAGGACCTGTTGTAGAAAGATGTTGACTTTGGCTTACTTTCTTTGCCCCTCAACTGTTTTCTCTTTCAGAATCAGTGTAGTTACCCCCACCCCCAGTCCATGGGTTCTGTATCCATGATTCCAACCAATTGTAGATTGAAAATATTTGGGGGAATGTTGCATATGTACTGAATGTATATATGGTTTTTTTCTTGTCATTCCCTAAACAGTGCAGTATAACAACTGTTCACAAAGTTTGCTCTGAACTGGGTATTACAGGTAATGTAGATATATTTTATAGTATACAAGAGGATGTGTACAGGTTATATGCAAATATTTCATGTTATACAAGAGACTTGAGCGTCTGTGGACCCTGGTAATCAATCCTCCATGAATACAGAGAGATGTCTGATTGTCTTGAGTAGACCTGTGACAGGTACCTAGTTCACCCTTCTCTTACTTCTTTCAAACATTGGACCCACTGATTCTCAGTACCTTCTTATCTTACCACTGTCTTCAAACATATTTTTTTGAGCATTTAGTTCAGGTTTTCTCATGGTACTTGACGGTTTCTCTAAAAGAACTTGGCCATTCTGAAAATACAGCCATGCGAAATTTGTTTTATTTTTGTTGTTGCTGTGGTGATTGTTGCTCTGTACATTTTAGTTTTCTGAAATATCTCAAAGCAGTGTGGTTTTAGGGTTCATCTCTCAGACTCCTAACTTTATTGCATGTGCCACTGACTTCTGGTGTTGGTAGTAATTAGATGACGAGTTTGAGAAATGTAACAGAAAGCACTGGCTTTTTCTTAAGCAGGTAGGCCTGAGTGCGAATTGTGACTCTTCTTGCTTGGGCCAGTCTGTGTGGGTTATCTGTTAACTTTCTGAAATTTGTTTCTTCATCCTCAAAATGGGCCTAGTGAGAATGAAAAAATGAAATTGTATGTGATGGACAGCACCTGGCATTTTGATACATGTTAAACTTACTTAATTATCTTGAGAAGTTGGAAGCTGTACAGTTAGTCCACTCTCATAGGGAATTTATAATTGCAGTGTGTAGTAAGTACTACTAAACCCCTGAGAAGGACCTGTGTGTGTGATTGTGGGGCAGTTCAGAAATACCTTTTGAACGGCCTTTATGTTCCTGGCACCTTCCCAAGGCTACTAATCCTGGTAACATGTAGACGCCATTCAGCATCTTGCAGTCTAGCGAGATAAGGAGGGAGGGTAAGGGCGAGGGCTACATCCACCACTGCCTGTGTGTTAGAGCAGAAGCCAGCGCTTTTCCTGAAGTGGGTCAGGTAAGCCTGTTTCCTCTGTTGCAGCAACTCTAATTTGGAGTGCAAAAGCAGCCAGAGTAAACTCATTAATGAATGACCTGAATATATTCAAATAAAGCTTTACTTACAAAAACATGTAGCAGGCCAGCCCTTCCACAAGCTAAATCCCTTTTACATTTTTTAAAAGTTTTTTTTAGAACAAGATGCAACAAGGATGACTTTATGGTTCACAAAGCCTGAAGCATTTTTTTTTTTCTAATCATTTACTGAAAAAGGTCAGTGACTGCTGGGTTGGAGAATAGGTGTCCGTTGCTGTAAAAGTGAGGTGAGTACTCACAGTTGAAAGGCAAGCGGGGAAGGAAGATCACAGCGAAGAGGCTTGGTTCACAGAGAGCACTGGTGGGAAAACTAGGAGTTCTGCGCACATCAGTAGCGACCGTCACCCAGGTCAACGGTAACTACTTTGCTAGTCACCTGCTTTACTGAATTATCTATAATGTGCTGTTACAGCAAGAAAGAGTAAAGTCATAGATAAAGAGGAGTTAAATACTGTTAGACGTGTTCTCTGTAGAAGAAATTAACTTTCTGTGACAGCCGGAAGTTATCACACCTTTTTCTACACTTGGTATGTTTACTGATTTGTAATTTTATAACATCCTGCTTTTTTTTTTTTTTAACAGACATACACTTTCGGGAAATGGCCTCTAAATCTTGGCTGAATCTTTTAACCTTCCTCTGTGGATCAGCAATAGGATTTTTTTTATGTTCTCAGCTATTTAGTATTTTGTTGGGAGAACAGGGAGATACCCAGCCTCATATTCTTCATAATGATCCTCATGCAAGACATTCAGAGGATAATGGACAGAATCAACTAGAAGGACAAATGAACTTCAATGCAGATTCTAGCCAACATAAAGGTACGGTTTATGTTACTAAGGAGTATTTCAGTCTAGGTATTCTGTGAGTTTTGTTGTATCACCATCTATAGCTGTTGGGTAAAATGAGCTCTGTATTTCAGGTATTAAAAGATGATAATTTTTGGCTTGCCTCAGTAGAAAGAAGCTGCTAAAACACAGATTTATTGAGAGAGTAGTATATTAATTTTAGTAGAAATGAGAAACTATGATTTAATGAAAAACATGGGGTTTTGGAAAATTGTTCCTTAGGCCCAATTCTGTTATCGTGGTTATATCTCTGTGGCTTTTGCTGTTATCTTGTTTCAGTCGTAGTTTTTGCTTAGTCTTGTTTTCTTAGAAAAAAAGATATATATGTATATATGGTAATCTATGTTTTTATCAGTAGTTATTACAATTTTTCTCCTTTTGAAAATTATAACAAAAGTAAGGAAGTGAAAAGCTAAGGCGGTGTTATAATGATTTCATCTTCTCCTGGCCTGGTACCTCTAACATTATTTTCTCAGTTGCGTTTTCCATGAACCCCCTAAAATGTTGATTTTCTCCAGCTTTCTGTCCTTTAGCTGTTTTTCTGAGTCACTTCTCTGTTGTGACGTTATGTCATCAACCCTCGTAATTTTAATTCCCATCTATTCCTTACTATATTTATCCTCAGCCAAGTTTCAAGTACTTTGAGAACACATTACTGTAATATATAGATCTCTGCAAGTGATTATATGGCAAAAAAGAATACAAGCAGCTTGAAAACAATGAATTCTGGGGTGCAGAGGGTCCCCCCATTAAGAGTTGTTTCTTTTACCTATCCAGTAGTAAAGTACTCCTTCCTCATCTCTTGTGCAGAAATTAAGTGGTGAGATATCAAAACCTGGTCGAGTTTTATCACCTTTATATCCTTATTTTGTACTATTACAAAATGTCACGGGACATACATGCGTATATAACAGTGCTTTGGTTCTGGGAGGTGCTCTGTGTTCTTAATTTGGAGAACTTCGGCCCCTGTGCACTTACTCTGTAGCACAGTGCCATGTCTTCAGACGGTTGCTTAGGTCTGGCTTCGGCCCTGCTGCAGCCTCTTACTTTGACACTTGTGTGTTCTGCTCCGTGGCCCACAAAATGCGGGTTATGGTAACGGTCTGCCTACTCTCCTTAGACTCGGTGTGTTGTAAGTTGAGCTCCTGTTTCTTTTCTTACCACTCTTAAAACTTGCTCTTTTTCCTATATTATTTTATATCTACCTATATTATTTTATATCTACCTAGAATCTGCCTAAGCTGGACACTGAAATCACGATACACACCTTTACATGCCAATCAATGCCATTTATCACCAAATTCCAACACTTTACCTTACCATTTGTTCAGAACCCTCCCTCTCAGTTCATAGTATACTTCCCCTAACAGGGCCTTCAGCTACATTCACATGCCTGCACTCAGCTAAACTTCACCATACCTTTGTTCTTTCTTTTGGTGAGCATCTACTCATGTAAAGACTTTCTGTATCATCGCATTTATTACAATGTCACTTTATCTTTCCTTTCTTCTCTATTCTACCCAAGTTCTTAATGTCAGCACTCCATAGGCTGGATCAGCCACTTCTTTCATTTCTCTCAGCACATTGAGCCCTTTGTGCATTAGCGTGTTTTGTATGTAGCAGTTACTGGTTTGCATGTCGGGTTCCTCTGGAGAGCTGTAAATTCCTGTGTGTCAGGAAATACGTCTGTCTTTTCATCTCCAGTGCCAGCACACTTGGGGTACGAAGTGATTAATAAATAAATAATTGAAAGTGACAGTATCAACACCATTGTGTCCTAAGTGAGACAGACTGGCGGAAAGGGAAGAGGGTTCCTCTATGTACTATTTTATCTCTTTGTCCAGGGTGTGTTTGTCAGTATAGCTAAGAGATTGGGCTTGTCAGGTGCGTCAGCAGTCAGAGCTTTCTCACTGAAAATAAGGGATAATGGCCATTAGGTTTGTGAATGCTTAATTTGCAGCGTTTTCTTCTCTCCCTTCTCAGTCAGTGTACTAGTAAATTATTCCACTGTTGTTAATTTTTCACAGGACTAAGATTTTCAAACCCACTCTTCGATCCTAACTTTAAGAGTGCCCTTTCTTCAGATACCACAGCATTGCCACTCAACGTGGTTTGCAGACTCAGTAACTAAATATATATTGAAACTGAACTTGAAGTAAACAGTAGAAATACTTCATGCTAATAGTGATTTTGTGTGAATCCGAAAGTACAGACTTCAGACCTTCTTACATATTTTAGCTTGTATTTTTTGAGTCATTGAATTTTATCATATTTATTTATCATATTTAGCAATTAGAAGTAGAAATTGGTCCTTCACCATAGGTAGTTTGAAAAGTATTAGTTTAGGAACTCATAATTGGGCTCTTGTTTGAGACCAGTGCTATAATGTGAATTGTTCGCACCCAGGTAAGAAGCTTACGCCGGGATGTCGGACAGTTTAAGTCCCTAAGCTGACTGCTCCGTCGGGTGGATGTCCCCCTCCCCCTTTCGACTAGAATCCGTCCTTGGTGAAAGAATATGTTGAATATGTTCATTTATATTCTGCCATAAAGCTTATTTCTTTGCAAACTAATAGTTAAAAAAACTCTGTTCTGCACAATCTTGGCACTCGCTCGGTTCTGTTTCTGACTGGTGGATTTGCATTTTGAAGTGAAGTGTTCAGAATTATCGGAAGTAACCTCAAGGCTGCATTCGCCTCTGTTTGAACTGTGTTATCCTGAAAGCTCTCAGGCCCACCTGCAGGTACCTGTGGAGAGTCATCACCAGGGGCTCTAGTGACCTTCAGAGATGGACACGAACCTTCACTTCAGCAGCAGTTTCTGCCCCTCTGGAGCTCAGTCAGAGCAGTGAGAAATTCCTGTGAACATGCTGAAAAACAGCGGAGTCTTTCTTTGTAGTAGGAAGTGTCAAGTAGGGATTATTTAAAGCAATATTTAACATGTATGTGAGTCACCAGGGAAACTTTTAAGATGTTGACTCAGCAGCTCTAGGGCAGGGCCTGAGATCGGGCATTTCTCACGTCTCCAGCAGTCCTGATGGTGTTGTCTGTCCGTGAGCAGCGTCTGAGTGGTAAGAATGTAAGTCCTAGAGACAGCTTGGTGATGTGAATAAAACTGCCATGAAACCAGTAATTCAGAGTGTAGTCACCGTTGGGTTGGGTTTTGCTTTCTTTCAGCTAAATCGCTAATAATAGCTGGGTAACTAGAGGAGCGTCTTTAAGAAAATGTTTTCTTCTATATATTTTATTTGGATTTTGCCTGTATCTGAATATAACTTTTTAAAATGTTTGTTTGACAGATGAGAACACAGACGTCGCTGAAAACCTGTACCAGAAAGTTAGAATTCTGTGTTGGGTTATGACGGGCCCTCAAAATCTAGAGAAAAAGGCCAAACATGTCAAAGCTACATGGGCCCAGCGTTGTAATAAAGTGCTGTTCATGAGTTCCGAGGAAAACAAAGACTTCCCTACTGTGGGATTAAAAACCAAAGAAGGTAGAGATCAGCTGTACTGGAAAACAATTAAAGCTTTTCAGTATGTTCATGACCATTATTTAGAAGATGCGGACTGGTTTATGAAAGCAGATGACGATACATATGTCGTCCTAGACAATTTGAGATGGCTTCTTTCCAAACATAGCCCCGAAGAACCCATTTATTTTGGGAGAAGATTTAAGCCCTATGTAAAGCAGGGTTACATGAGTGGAGGAGCAGGATATGTGCTAAGCAAAGAAGCCTTGAAGAGATTTATCGATGCATTTAAGACAGAAAAATGCACACATAGTTCTTCCATTGAAGACCTAGCACTGGGAAAATGCATGGAGGTTATGAATGTAGAAGCCGGAGATTCCAGAGATGCCACTGGGAAAGAAACTTTTCATCCCTTTGTGCCAGAGCACCACTTAGTCAAAGGTTATCTACCCAAAACTTTCTGGTACTGGAATTACAACTATTATCCTTCGGTAGAGGTAAGTTTAGAAATTTTATTACTGTATAAATACTTGGGATTGATATGCTTTGTTGACTTTTAAAAAATAACAGACTACCAGTATGTGTATATTTTAGTATCAATAACCAGCATTCTCCCTTAGTCTTTTGCTAGGGTGGTATAACAGAGCAAATGATACCAGAAGTCAGCAGTAGTCATTGAACCAGTGTCTCCTGACAGTGCTGTATGCCAGGCATTGAGTATAAAAGCAAGTAACAGTCCAGCTTCAGTTCTCGAGAACTGTACGTTGTGGATGGGAGGTAGACCATTGGCAGGCAGACTCACAAGGATATGATTGTAGGCACTGTTAAGTGCTGTGCAGAAAGGGACCCTTAGTGACCAGTAATGGCAGGGGTGCTGTGGTTTGGGTGCAAGGCCTTCCTAAGAAGTGACTTTGGCACAGAAACCTGAGTGAGGCTAAAGAGCCAGCGGAGGATCTGGTTCAAGAGCCTTCTAATCATCAGAGCAACATGACAGAAGGTCTTGCGGTTCAGAAAGACCTGCGTTCAAGTTCTGCTCTCTCATTTAGTGATTGAATGACCATGGAATGGACGGAATTTGGCTAAGGTCTGAGCCTGTTTGCTCATTTGTAAAATGGACAGGATCTGCACGTGTCATTTACTTGTAATTACGTATAGTACAGCCTGTGGCGTGGTATTTAGTAAGCTTGGCTCTCACTCGGAACCTTAGCTTACATTCCTGAGAATTTCATCTGAAATACATTGATGAAGTATTTCTGTTAGAGGATGATATGATACCTTACACTTGCCAACCAGTTTTACAAAATGTTAATCTTGTGTGACATTTGCTTCAAATTTTTGCAAAGGAGAAATAATGTTGTAGTTGAGCCTTGCACGGCCTGCCCATTCTAGTTCGCTTAGCTCCTTCCCTAGAGTTAAACACTGTCTTCCTTACTCTTTCTCGTTGTTGGGACAAAATACCCGACTCCCAAAATCAGAGAGGAAAGGGTTTATTTAGCTCACAACTTGTGCAGGTTTCAGTCCGTAATCAGCTCACACCAAGGCAGGGTGGCGCATGGCAGAGAGGTGACAGTTCGTGGTGGTGGAAGCCTGCAAAAGCAACAAGAGCAAAAGGGGGAGACGAGCCTCTCTGCCCCTTTTATCTTAGCGCAGAGACCCCAGACTGCTGGGATGAGGGCGGTGCCAATCCAGTCGGTGGACTAAGCCCGCAGTCGCCCAGCCTTCATCCCAACACACTTAATCCCAGCACTGCACTGTGAGTCAGTCACAAACTCCAGATCCATCTACCTCCACGAAAGCCTGCCCACCCCCGTTGACTGCATGAGGCTTTGAGGGGGACATCCAGACACAAACCATCACAAACGTATCCTAAATTTAACATTACTCATTAACCATGTGCGCTTATTTTTCCTTCCTGTTGATGTGTTCCTAAAAACAGTATTTGCAGGCTTTTAAATCAGTAGAATGATACCATATGCATTTTTTCACATTTCCCCTTTCACATAACTTGACGTATTAATGCTAATTATATGTATCTGTGTACTTTAAACGGTTGCATAATCTAATATATAAACATACTGTGTCCCACACTGATACGAATGTAGGCTGTTTCTAGTTTTTCACTGTTGCACCGCTACAGTGAATACCTGGTTGTGACTGGGAACCATGAAACCTAGTTTTTAGCCTCAACTTTCTTACTAATGTCTTAGGCAAGTCCCTAGGTCTCTATGCCTTTTCTCCGCCTCATATTTGCAGACAGTTTGTCATACCACTCTCTTCTTCACAAGCCAATGCTTGCAAATCATTATCCAGAGTAATGGTTCTCTCATAGAGGCAGATTTGTTCCCCATGGGACATGTGGCGGGTATGGAAAACATTCGTTTTGTACAACTAGGTTGCTGCTTGGCGTCTAGTAAGTAGAAAACCAGTAGATACGAACCATTCCGCCCTCCATAGAAGAAACAGGCTTATGCTCCGCGAAGTATCAGCTGTGCCGAAGTGCCCGGCCTACAGCGTCTGGCCCAAGCTTTTAGGTGATCAGCTTCACAAGGAAATTTTGAGGCAAATCACTGCTGTTTTTACTGTCAACCACTTGTGTGTTCTTAGTGTCTACACAAACATGATAGAAAGCTAAACCTCACAACACGTCTGTGTTTTAGGTGAGTAAACCGAGGCTCAGGAAAGCTCAGTAATTGGCCTAACCTGATAGTCGACCAGGCCAGTGGTGGTGAATCTGTGGCTTAAGTACTATGGTGGCCGTTCTTATGACTGACAGCTCTAAAAGGCTCGTGATCACAGGACTGGGCAGTATGGCAAACCACTGTGATTCAAGAAGTGTTTATGTCCCTTGTACTGCTCAGAAGCTTCTTCCTGTGATCAATAGGATAGTATGCCTGCCACAAGAAGAAGTAGAGCGTGTATGTTAGAATAACTGTTACATTGCTGAGGCCAACTTTCACTTTAAGACCTGAACATTTTAAGCTCAGTTCAATGTAATGAAAGTGTTGAAACTTTATGCTATTTTTTTATCACCGTTGTAGCTTAAGCAATTTCTTAAGACTGTGAAATGAAAGTACAGTATTCCTAATCTGCTTTCTGATCATTTGTTTTTCTTTTGTATTAGTGAGGTACTATTTTGGATGCTTTTTTGATTTATACTTTCAATCCATTCTGATCATTGCAAGATGACCATCCCTCTTCTTAATTCTACACCCATTCCTGTATAAAAATGTACTCAAATTTAAGAATACTACAAAGCATATACAGATATACCCCAAAGTGTGTAAGATTATATTAAAATATTGCATTACAACAGCAAAGGGGCATCATAACTGTCCTTACTTTGTAACCAGTGAAATACCTTCTAAGAGTATTACCCCTATTTACAAAATTTATTTGAGCACGGCATCTTTTATTTAAATCGTAGTGGTTTCTAAATGAAGGTTAAGTTTGTTATCCCCTTAAAAATTTATTCCACTGTATTGAAAATTCTAAAACAATTTGAAGCACTGCAATTCACCTCATCTTCTAAAATTGCCTATTCTCTACCAAGACATTCTACAGAAAACCAGTGAAACCAAAATTCTGTTATTCATCTGTCACTGAAGGTTTTTCTCCCTATGTGAGTTACTGTTGTCAAAGTCTTTCTAAATGTCATGCGTATACTTTTTCTTTATAGTAACCACTAAGAATATAATGTAGAAAATTCTTATCTGGCAAGTGGGGTGGAGATATTCAACTTTATCAAAAAGTTATATTCTTAAAGTACTTGTTCAGAACTGATTCTTTAGGCTGTTCTCTTCCCATACCACCGTCTGATTTCTTAGAAATCTTTTAGATAAGGCTGTTTCCTAGGCAATTTGCAATCTTTTTTTAAATTAAATTCATTGATACATTTTCTGTACACATAATGATCACAGTCATCATAGGGAATTTGGACCTGTACAGGATATATCTTCTTTTTTTCCACTTCCCCTACCCTCCGTTCAGCCCCTCTTCCCCTCCTTATGTACAGAAACTTTGTTTGCATTTTTCCTCCTTTTCTCATTTGTCCCCTTCCTTCCTTTACCCCACTCCCCTTCCCTTTCCCTCCCTATTTCCCCTTCCCATTTGAACATGTTCTGTTTCACAATATCTGTCAGACATTTTGGTCTTTACTTACACTTTGGTTTCTCACACCATAGAAACAATACAGTATTTACACATGGGTGTTCCAATTATTTGAGAATATGATCTCAAGAGACATCCATTTACCTAGAAAGCTCTCAAGTTTATCCTTCTTTATCGTTGAGTAGTATTCCATCATATTAAACTACATTACATGTTCTTTATCATTCATCCATTGATGGGCATTTGGGCTGTTTCCAAGATTTAGCTATTACAAACTGTGCCACTGTGAACATGGGTGTGCATGTATCATTGTGGTATGATGCTTTTAATTCTTTTGGGAGGACACCAAGAAGGGGAATAGCTGGGTCAAATGGAACCTCTGGTTTTAATTTTTGAGGAATCTGCACACATTTTCACAGTGGTTGCACTAGTCTACACTCCCAACAGTGGAGAAGGGTTCCTTTTCCCCACAGCCCTGCCAGCGTTTGCTGTTGGTTGATTTCTTGATAACAGCCATTCTTTCTGGAGTGAGATGGAATCTCAGCATTGTTTTAATTTGTATCTCTAAAATGACCAGGGATGTTGCACACTTTTCCATACACTTATTTGCTGTTTGTACTTCTTCATCTCAGAAGTGTGTATTCATTTCAGATGCCCATTTATTGATTCGATCTTCAAATTCAGGGGTTTGATTTTTTCGTTAAGTTCTTTATATATTCTAGATATTAGTCTTTGGAGGAACAGCTGCAAAAATATTTTTCCCACTCTGAGTTGTCCCCTCACTCGGTTTTTGATTTCTTTTGTGGAAGAGCTTTTTAATAAGATCCCAGTTATTGATTCTGTGTGACAGTCCCTGTGCAGTTGGCATTTTGTTCATAAAGTTTTTGCCTGCACCTGTGTCTTCAACCGTTCTACCTATTCTCTCTTCCTCCAGCAGATTTAGTGCTTCTCTTTTAATATGAAGATCTCTGGTCCATTTTTGTTTTAGTTTGATTCATGATGAGAGACATGGATCTAGTTTTCGTTTTCAGCGTGTGGAGAGCCACTTTTTCATCACTGTTTAGTGAAGAGGCCATCTTTCTTCCAGTGAAGGTGTTTTGCCTCTTTGTTGAAGATAAGGTGGGTGTGTGTATACGTAGTTGTGTCTGCATCTTGTACCCAGTTCCATTGATCCTTCGGTCTGTTTTTTGTTTGTTTTTTGGTTTTTGCCAGTACCGTGCATTGTTTTTTTAAATCACAGTAGCTTTGTAATATAAAGTCAGAGATTGTGATGCCTTGTGACTTGCCTTTGTTACCTAGAATTGCCTTTGCTAATCTAGGTCTCTTCTGGTTCCAAATAAATCTTAGGACTGTTTTCTCTAATTCTGTGAAGCATGCTGTTGGTATTTTGATCAGGATTGCTGTAAATCCATATAACAATTTTGGGAGTCTGACCATTTTCACTATGTTTGTTCTTCCTGTCCAGGGGCAAAGCATCTTTCCATATTCTTATATTCTCTTTGATCTCCTTTTTTCAGAATACTGTAGTTTTCAATGTAAAGATCTTTTTACTTCTTTGTTAGACTGATTCCCAAGCATTTCATTTTTTTCGATGTCATTGTGAAATGTGTGGTTTCCCTAGTTTCTCTCTGAGTTTGTTGTTTGTGCACAAGAATGCTATTGATTTTTGAGTATTGACTTTATATGCAGCTATGCAATTGAATGTCCTTATTAAATCCAGAAGTCTTGTGGTAGAGGTTTTTGGGGTCTTTTATGTAGAGTATCATATCATCTGCAAATAATGATAATTTAACTTCTTTTCCTCTCCTTATTCTTTTTCTTTCTTTCTCTTCTCTAATTGCTCCTGCTAACATTTCCAGAGCTATATTGAATAGGAGTGGTGACAGTGGACATCCTCGTCTTGTTTCTAATTTTAGAGTGAAAGCTTTCAGTGTTTGACTATTTAGTATGATATTGCCTGGTTTGTCATAGATAGCTTTTATCAGGTGGAGATAAAGACCATCAATTCCAATTTTCTGTAGGGTATTTTTAAATCTTAAACAGGTGTTGGGCTTTGTCACATGCTTTTTCTGCGTCTGTTCAGATAATCATGTGATTCTTGTCTTTGGCTCTGTTAATAGGGGGTCTTACATTTAGTGATTTGCATATGTTGAGCCACCCCTGCATTTCTGGGATGAATCCTATGTGGTCATGATGTATAACCTTATTGATGATTTGCTGCATTCTGTTTGCCAGTATCTTATTGATGAGTTTTACTTCTGTGTTCATTAGGGAGATTGGCTTGTAGTTGTCTTTTTTGATTGGATCCTTCTCTACTTTTGATATCAAGGTAGTACTTGCTTCCAGGAATGAATTTTGGAGTACTGCTTCTCTTTCAATTTCATGGGAGCATTTGAGGAGTAATGTCATTAGATTTTCTCTTAAGTTCTTACAGAATTCAGCGGTAAATCCATTAGTACCTGGGCTTTTCTTTATTGGTAAGTTTTTAATACATTTTCAGTTTCATTGACTGATAATGGGTTATTTAGAATTTTTATATGTTTGTGATTCAGCTTTTGTAATAAATATGTATCTATGGATCTGTCCATTTCTTCTATATTTTTCAACTTTTCAGAATATAAGTTCTCAAAGTAGTTATTGATTTTCTCAGTTTCTGCAGGATCCCTTGTGATTTCAACTTTTTCATTCCTAATTGCTTTGAGTCTTCTTTTAAAAAAAAAGTTCACTAAGCATTTACCAATTTTATTTAATCTTTCAAAGAACCAACTGTTGATTCATTGACTCTTTATATTGTTTTCTTAGTCTTAGTTGCACTAATTTCTGCTCTACTATTATCATTTTCTCTCTCCTTCAAGCTTTGGGCTTGACTTATTTTTCTGGAAGTTTGAGGTTCAACATTAGATTATTTGGACTTGCTCTGTTTTACTGATGTGGGATTTCAGCACTATAAGTTTCCCTCTAGGATTGCTTTCATTGTGTCCCATAAGTACCATTGTGTTGTATTGGAATTGTCATTTAATTGGAGAAACTAATTTCTTTAATTTCATCTGTGACCCCTTGGTTGTTCAAGGGTATTCTTTAAGTTCCATGTGTTTATGTAGTTTCTTTTGCCATCCATTTCCAGTATCATTGCACTATGATCTGATAATATGCGTAGCATCATTTCTGTTCCTTTGCATTTACTTAAGCATGTTCTGTGAGCTAATATGTGGTCTGTCTCAGGTGCAGCTGAGAAGAATGTATTTTCTGATGCTGTAGGGTAGAGCACTATAGAAATCTACTAAAGTCCATTTGTTCACAGGTTTGGTTCAGTTCTGATGTTTGTTGATTTTTTTGGTCTGGTTGATCTGTTTGTGACAGGGGGGTATTGAGGGTCCCCATTACAATTGCGTTAGCGCTTATTTGATTTTTCATTTCTATTCATACTTGTTTTATATAGTTGGGTGTGCTGTTATTTGGTCCATATATATTTATTATTGTTATCTCTTCCTCTTGTAGGTTTCCTTTAACAAGTATGTAGTGATCTTCTTTGTCTTTTTTGATCTGTCTTGGTTTGAAGTTCACTTTATCTGCAAATGAAATAGCTACCCCTTGCTTTTCTGGGTTCCTGTTGCATGAAGTATTGTTTTCCATCATTTCACTTTCATTCTATGAATTTTTTTTAAGCTAAATGTGTTTCTTGTACGCAGCAGATTTTTGGATGTTGTTTCTTGATCCATTCTGCCAGTCTGTTGCTTTTAGGTGAATTGAAACCACTTACATTAGTAGTTACAGCTGTTACGTGTTGATTTATCCTTGTCAAATTATTTTCCTCTTGTTGGTTCCCCTGTTTCCCCTGTTTAATTGCTTACCTTGCCTGGTGGCTTCTTTCTATTCATGCTCTTGCAATTGTGGTCTTCATTACCTCTCAAATATCCTTCAGAACGTTTGTAATCTTAATAGAATGAAAATAGATACATAGTGGTATCTAGCTTCACAAAGAATTTGTTTTGATTTTGGAAAAGATGGCCACATTTGTGTTTTTTGGAGAAAGATGGTTACAATTGTGTTTAAAAACAAAAACAAATTTTGCCAACACTTGTTTGTAGACCATATTGTTCTCAAAAATGTTCATGAATACCGAGGTACTATGTATATGTTCCTCCTCATATGAATTTCTTTTCTGTAGTTATTTTTTTGAGGCAGGGAGTACTGGGAAAAAATCTCAGGACCTTGAGCTTGCCAGACAGGTGCTGTTGTTGCTGAGCTATCTCCCTGGCTCCAGTTTGTGTAGTTCAGAGATGGTCAGATATCATTTATCAGAGTCTTGTTTTATTTACATTAACTCTGATCTGTCTGAAATATATTAATACATAGTTAAGGTAGACAACTCTTGATTTTTCCAAGTTGTTAACTGATTGTTCCATTATAATTTGTTACTGAGTCTTACATACTTCCATGACTGGTTTAAATATAGTGGTAACTACCGTGTCTGAGATTTCAGTTCTGTGCCATTGTTCTACTTGGTTTTGCCCCCCCCCCCATATTGTTAGTGAACCCTCTTTTAAGTTACTAATTTAAAAATATGTTAATTTCCCTTTCTTTCTTCTCTTTCAAAGTGTTTGGCAAGTGTATATCCTTATCCTTGCATAAAATGCATTATCTTAGGGACAGTGATATTTTTGTGTAGGATTTTTTCTTCATATTGCCTTTTTAGATCCCTTAGTGAAACATAGTTTTCTCTCAGATCTTTAATAAATCTGAGGTGTTTCCAATTTTGGTGCTATTCCATTTGAGCTTTTAAAAAAATCTCACCTTTTTAATTTAGTATATATGAAAACTTTTAATCATCTTTTTAATCTGACTTATAGAATTTCCTGCTTAGGATTATTTTCCCCTTGAGACTCTGAGGTTTTTTTTTTGTTATCCACAATCATCTTCAAGGAATTATGTTTTTTTCTAATAATTTAGCTATTTTCTTTTATTGTACTTTATTACTTATATGCTTAAGAATAACAGCATAATGCAATATTTCAGCCTTAAAAATTGCTTCCAGAAAGGGTGATTGATCTGAAATAAACTAAACTATACCCATAAGAAGTTAAACCCTGTGTGTTCAGTTGTGGTTCTCATTTTCTTGCCTGGGAACTTGTGTTTTTACTAAAATACTGAAAAGTAAAAGAAGATCGTTTCAGTTAGAAACACTGGCAGTTTTATGTTTGGCTAAGACTTCTAAGAACTGTTAGTTTCTTTCACATGTCTAATAAATTAGGTACCTCTGCTTTACCATGCCAACTTTAATGTTTGAGTTGTTTTAAAATTAGTATGTGACGATTTGATATTAATGTGCTTTTTATTAATAACGTCTTTCACCATTATTTTAGGGTCCTGGTTGCTGTTCTGATCTGGCAGTTTCTTTTCACTATGTTGATTCTACAACAATGTATGAATTAGAGTACCTCGTTTACCATCTTCGTGCGTATGGTTATCTGTATAGATACCAACCTGCCTTACCTGAGAACACGCTGAAGGAAGTAAATCAGGTGAACAGAAATGAAGATCCAAAAGTAAAACTAGGAAACCCTTGAAAGGAAAGCAAACGAGCCACAGTAAAATGTCTGGCATTGCACTGAAGAAGGGCTTCTGCATCTCCGACACAGACCCCTGAGATCCAGTGACATTCCATACAGAAATCTCTCAGATGAGTGACTGTAAACTGAAGCTTTAAATGAGCTGTGAAATGTGTTAAATGTGTTTTGATACAGTAATATATAAATCTATATAAGAACTTGTTTTTGAAGTGGTGGCGAGTAGAGCTAGTAAAAGAGATTTTGTTACCTGTTCTGACCATGTGTATTACTGTCACTGAGAAACTGAAAACTAAACCAGTTAAATTTGCTGAAACTGCACTGTACCACATTAGTAACACAATGCTAAACAGATCTGCCTTAAAATTTTAGAGGGAAATATTGTTGCTTAGCATTGTTTATAAATTCATTTGCAGTATGATATAAATGAACCACTTCTCCCTACACAGTTGTCTAATGAAACGTTTGCTGTGATTATTTATAATTAGCGATATTTCTTAAAGAAGATAGAAAAAGAATGGCACTGATCTTAAAGTGCATTAATAAAACTACATTTTGAAATTATCATGGGCCTCGATATATTTGGTTCTAATTATTCTTTCACTGAATCTCTTGTTCTTTTCTAACCACTCTTGAATACCATTCTCCACTATTAATATTTATTAAAGCATTAATATTCTGTACACAAGCATTTTAAAATACTCTGTTGCAAAATTTACCCATTGTTAATTATGGGTAATAGTAAGTTTAATGCTATTTTGGAATGCTGTTCTTATACCAATGCCACTATAGGAATTTCTCCTTCCACCTACATAATTATTCTTTTCATTCTCATCCTTTTGAGAAATGAGAACTTGCTTGTGCCTTTCATAACTTAGTTAAAACTTTTAACATTCATGTTTAGGTCTGAGGTGGCTGTTACACTGGCAAAATATTTTGAATTAACATTTTGACCAGAGTTAATTAAATGCATTGGAAAATACAGTGTTTAAATAAACTAAAATACGTTAAAAGACCTAATAATTTATGAGCCGCAACCTGAAGTTGGATGTTAATTTGTTATTTTGGAAAAATGGTCTTGCCGGTGGATCATTCTGACACCGCAGAATACCTATTTAAGCATACCATCAAAACATAGTTCTAAATGTTTCATCTTAATTTAATCATTCTGTTTGCAAAGAAAGAAAATTTTCAACTTCTTTTGTCTTTAGCAATACTGAGTGTGTAGCAATATTTTGCAGATGTTTTGTAAGATTATTTTCAATATTGTATGATTTTCATTATGCTAGTTTTACCTCGTTGTCATACCATTGATTCCATTGCTTGGCTAAATAATTTATATTTATTGTGCCAAAACATATCATGACCTCTTTGTACAGTATATTTTAGAGAATGTAATTTCAGTGACTGACTATGGATTACTCTTTGACATAGTAAAAAACACACACCAACTTTCACCTATTATTATTTTGATGATGATATCTACAAAATTTCAAGACATTCATTCTGCTCATTGAACAACCTTTGACTGTAGTGTGGATATGAATTTGTGGTCCATATACACTATTCTTTATTAGAAGTGTAGTTTTATCATAAACCTAAACCCTTAAAATTGACCCATAGGAAATGAATGCTGCAATGATCGTGGACTTCAGAGTCAGACTGCCAGGCTTTAAATTTTTGCTCCATCACTTACTATTTTTGTAACATTGAGCAATTTAGTCTCTGTGCCTCAGTTTCCTCATCTGTAAAGTAGGGATAATACTAGTACCTACCTCATAGGATTTTTATGAGGATTAATAAATCTATGTAAGGCTCTTAAAGCACTGTCTAGCCCAGCATAGGGAGCAATAAAGTATAAAGTTTTATTATTCTGCTATCCTGGAGTGTAAATGTTTTATTTAAATGAGTAAAATGATTAAATCAAGTAGTGAAAGGTTTTTGTATCTTTCTTATAGTATTTATCTAGTACCTACTGTATACCAGGTACTGTGCTTATTCTATGTACAGTAGTGTTAATCCTCACTAATTGAGTATTATTCTCATATTTTAGATGAGGAAACTGGGGACCCAGGAATTTGAGTTAACTTTTGCACTGTTACAAAGCTAGTAAGTAACAGAACTAGAATTCGTACTCAAACGCTATGTATTCATTTGTGTTGGTCAGCCTTGGGGTCATTTAGTAGTATTCTCATTTGCACGTATATGATACGTGACATCTGGTACATTGGCCAGTAAACAGTCAAATAAACCAGCCAGATTGATACGCTGATACTTAAATTGTGGTTCTCTCACTCTTGCCTGGGAGTGTATTTAAATGGAGATCTCAAGACCCCAGTCCCAGAGATTCTGATTGTAGCTTGGGCCTAAGACTATACATTCTTATCAGATACCACACAATAGTCAAACAGTGGTCCCAACAAGCACTTGGAAATGCCTTAGCTCAGATGTACTAAATCAGAAACTCCAGGGTGGGCCCACCACCCGTGATTAAACAAGCCCTACAGATGAGTCTTAATTCATCCTGTGAGAACCATGATTATGGTGCAAATAGTCTTTGGAACACACTCAGGATAACTGCCCCATGGGTAAGGCACTTTTCAGAAACTTAGACAAAGCATATTTTAAATCGTTGTAGTCCAGGATCACACTATATTAAAGGTAAAATATTTAAAGATAATTTAAAGGGTCAGTGGATTGTTGGTTGTAGCAAAATTCTTTAGCTTCTCCAGAGTGACTAATATCAGGGCACTGATACTAAATCCACAAAATCTTTAATTCTCCAAGTTCAGTAAATTTAATTGGATATAAAGGGTTCATTAATTACTAGTAAGTACATTCATTAAAAGCATACATAAGTAAATGTCATCAGATGTTCACAAAATGGTTACTAGTAAATTTTAGAGATAGCAAAATGCTATTTTTAATATGCGGTGTTTGACTGTTCTGTATGATCTAATGAAGCAAAAACATTCTCCAAGTATTTGACAGAGCACATGCAATCAGATTTCACGAAAACAGTGTTTTATTCACCATCTTTTACATTAAGATCTTTGTCATTTAATTATTTCAGTGATACCAGCATAAAGGCTTTTGATGTTTTCTGTTCTCTAACAATACCATGTTTGTATTTTCTGGTTAAAATTTCACACGAAGGTTTTCATCAAGATGTAATTATTTTCAAATACCTTAAATTTCAGAGGAGTTTCTGTCACTGTAATAAGATAGAAAATAAATCACTGGCCAGTTTTTAATGGTTTTGAATATGGTAATTGGACTTACACGTTCGAGTTGCTTGCTCGTTTTTCTCTAATTGTTTCTTCAAGGTTGATTTTTCATTCCTTTGAGCCCATCAAACTGTATTACCAGGTTGAGGCACTATTATACTTGAAAGACTCCCTCATCTTTTAACAATTTCTGCTGCTTTATATTTATTGCCCTTTGTTTCCTTAATAACTAACCTCCCCTTTCTAGCTACGCTTAATGATGCCTTCATAATGTTAAATTGGCTGTTAGTAGTGATGCGGATTTGTATTACTTGCTGATAGTTTTATACCTACTAACTTTAGGTTTCCCTATGAGATTAAAAGTTTAAGAATAATTCCTGCTGCCTCTCAGGGTAATCGCCCTACTTAAAAATACACAATTTTAAACTAATTCTACATTGTAATTATTAAAGGAAGTAAAGTTATTTGCATCATCTGCTTCATTTCCCTGCCTCTTCGTAATCGGCCTGACAGAAACATGCTCAGGAAATCTAGGAGTCAGCCTGTGGTATATCTTATGCTAAATATAACCTCTTGGTTAAAAATGACTCATGTTTATATATCAGAGTTGAAATAGAAATTAACAAATTGAAGTCAGAACTTCTGCAAGTACTCTTAGAGAAACAGCCCTAAAAGTAGCTTTAGAGTTGAAGTGTGCTATATTTCAACTCTTACTCTTTAGCTCTGTTTCTTTTAGTTAAATTTGAGTAACTTTGCAGGACCCTACAATGAATAAATCTACATGAAGTATGTTATCAGAGGGAAACTACTCTTACTGCTAAGCAGTGTGTTGTACTATAGTGAATATGTTCTGAGATTTAAGAATTATTTAAAGTCAGTGTCATGAATGGTTTAAAAATATCTGGTGACTTGCTTATTTTAAGTGATCACCATTAAGTCAGAAAAATGTATTTTTAAATGTTTTTTAAAGTGCCTTTTGAAAATTTTTAAACAATGGATTTAAACTGCATAAAATAAATTACCATGTTCAAAATTGTTTCATCTCGTTATTTTTAACCAATATAAAAGTTATGGGATAGACATTTTATGAGTAGTTTTTTTTGGAGGGGGATTCCCAAAGTTTTTCACTTTTGATAAACTTGCATAATTTTTCTGCAATATATATTATTCACTTTAATGCTAAAGAAAAATACTCCACCTCTGTTTTAAAATAATATACCTGGTGTACTTTTAAAAAAAAATTAGACTCCCTTTTTGTAGTCCATATTGGTTCATGTACACTGAAAAATCCATTTATTCAACAAATAGTGTATCTGCTAAAAATACAACAGTAACCAAGACATACAGGGGGCTGGGGATTTAGCTCAGCGGCAAAAGCGCCTGCCTGGCAAGCGCAAGGTCGTGAGTTCGGTTCCCGGTACCGGAGAAAAACCAAAAAAAAAAAAAAAAAAAACAAAAACCAAGACATACAGGATCTCTGTTGTCACGAAGTCTTCATTCTAGAGTTCGGACATAGGTCGGCAATGAGTGGACAAGGCGTTTCAGGACGTGGTGTCGGTAAGATGAAGTGGTAAGAGAGCGTTTTTTCTGGTGAGGACCTCAAGGAAGATGTGAGAAAGTAACCCAAATTTTAGCTGGGACCTGAATATCAGACACTGTTCACGCTTCAGAAATCTACGAAAATCTTTGCTCCTAGTATTAAAAAAAATGTTTCCGGGCCGGGGATGTAGCTCAGTGGCACAAGCGCCTATCAATACCTGGTACCAAAAAAAAAATTTTAAAAAAATGTTTCCACCTTCACTTAATCATGTTTTGGACACATGTAAAGGTACACTGAAATGTAATCTGTAAGGCCAAAAACAGTGGGTGTTTTTAAGCGTATTTCATGAAGAGCTCAGGTCTATTGATACTGAATCTGTCTGGGAATTTTAGGATATGAGTGAAAATGGAATTATTCCTAGGCACTAGTTTTATTACACGTGTTCGTAAGACCTTTACGTGGAGCTGTCCGCCTCCGTTTCAGCAGCCTGCTGCCCAGTATACACAGGTACACGCATGCGTGTAAACGCGATTGGGTTAGCCAGCTTTAGAAGAGCTAAGGAGGAAAATGTCACTCCGTGTTGCTTCAGGAGCAGAGTTCTGTCATGTAACATGTTCAGCTAGCCAGATATTTTCCACTTAGCTTTATGTAGTTGTGCTAATTGATGTCATTAGAAAGTAGGTTTATTATCCTAAATGTAGATTTACTACCCATTTTAAATTGTCCAAGAGTTTAATCTTAGAATATTGAAAAGGATACAGCATTATTGTTGAGAGTATTTTCTTTCTAAAGGGAAGGGTCCTACCTCAAACACTTTTTTACCAGACGTAGTGCTGACAGTATAGATTATCTGGGAGAAAGTCCTTGATTAAGAATGAATGAATATTTAACAACTGAAATTCAGCCACACTGAAATTCTTCTGATAAACTTGTGTTAATAAATCAGAAGTGAACTTTGTTCTGGCCTGAGTTTATTTACTATTTAACGCATTCAGTACTGCTGCCTAGAATTTCACTGTTAAAATATTGTCTGTTGTGTCATTTCATTTGCCAAAAGAACCGCCGATTGTTCATGCTAGTGCTTTTTATTCTGTGTCTTTGTTTTTGTTGGGGGCTTTTTTCCCAGGGCTGAAATTTTTCCCAAGGCATTATACACTTCGCTTTACATATTGTATCTGTACAATGGTTGGACACAGCAGCTTTGCCATAACGAAATGCTCGTCTTCTTTTAATGAGATTCAGCCCAACAAGTTAAGCTTACTTGAATTTTCTAAGGAATTCCTAGTGAAAGATTAACAATACTTCCTCGTTTGTAGAAATACTAAACGATGTACCGTCGAATTTGGATGTAGTGTGTTAGTCTTAACAACCACTTACAATTTGATTTTTGTCAGCCTCAATAATGTTTAATAAAAACTTACTCTAAATTACATTTTTCCTTTCTGTCCTTAAAACAGTACTCTTGATAGCATTTAGTTTGAACATCACTTTTCACGAAGTTTCTTGTGATTATTAGATTATGAAAAAGTGCTGATAAATCCCGAAAGTAGTAGTAATTCAACTTTGCCTAGTTTAGTCCTGCACAAGGCTGTCTTTTATTTGAACTATTTAGCAGGGTTTGTGTTAAAGACAAAAAAAGTGTGGATGTGGTTATGGTATTTTCATATGTGCATTTTTCTTTAATATGATAAGCAGCTTTATTAAATGAGGTTATGAAAGTATCTGTGTGCTTAGAATTGGTCACGGAGATGATTACTCGCCTAGCGAGTAATTTTTACAAATCTGCTTGTCCCGTTGGATTTTCCCTCGCTGCCTTAGACTCTAGCTCTCTGAATCCCCCTCCTGCTTTTTTATCCCAGGTCTTTCTTCCCTTAGAATTGCCAACGATTCTTGAAGGTGTTCTCTGGCTCGCGTTTTCTGCCAGCAGATGTACTTGAAGCCTTCTTGACTGCATATATTTTGTGAACTTCAGTTTCCTCTCCCTAAACAGTTTTCCTTGGAAGTCACAGAAAGCAGAAGGAAAAGATTCAGAGTACACGTAGCGTAACCCTGGTTTGCTTTTTCCTAAGGAGACATTTCCCTTTAGAACCTACCCCAGTAAGTTAGGGGTAGATACTTGAAAACCAGTGAAAATCAGCCTAATTTTTGTATTGCTTTTGTTCTTCAAGTCAGAAGAACCACAGCCGTAGAACTTGTTACATAGTCCAAGCTGGCCTCGAACAATAAATCCTCCTGCCTCAGCCTCCTCAGTATTGGCATTTAAGGCATGTGCCACCACACCTGGTCTGGTTTTTTTTAACGCCAGCTGATGCACTCTGCTCTGGAAATAGTATTGCTTAAGATTTTAAATGGTCCTGGTAGCAGAGGGAGCCTTTAGGAACAGAATCACAGCTATTGGAAACGGGCAGAATATTTGCTGGTTTGCTGAAGATGAGGTTCAAACCATAGTGTGTACATAGCTATGTGAAAAAGACAGTTGTCATGTGCTGTCACTCAGCAGTCTTGGGCATCCAGAACTTCAAGTGCTGCTATTACAAGAGACAGTTGTTTCCTCACCAAAGAAATAACTTCAGATTGGGGTGAGGGCTTAAGTATAATAGGCACTAAGCTTTGTCTCCTAGGTGTACAAATGCACGCAGTCTTTGCTAATCCGATTCCAAATGGGTGAGATACGGGGAGGTAATTTGAAGAGCGAGAGGTTGACACCCTCAAATATTTTTTAAAAATAGGTTCAAACCTTCCTAAGTTTAGCCTAAAGATCAGTGGCATCAAGGAGATGTGTATTAATTTATTGGTTTAGATCCATTCTTTTTAATTAGTAAGTTCATATCCCTCGTAAATGTAAATCGGCAGCGGCCCAGGAACTGAAGTAGCTGAACCCTTAACGTCACACACAAGTTAGATCTTAGTCTTAAGGATTTTTAGAACTGACAATGATAATCAGAAAATAGAAAATAAATTTCATAGAAGGAAACATCTGTTAGGTCAAACATAGCTGTATATTCAGACCAGTGAAATTTAGCTTTGTAGAGAAAAGATCCCAACATTCGTTATTTAAATGGTCCCTCTCCGATGTTTACGACTAGCTTTTCAGTCTAGCACGTATTCTTAAAATTGTATGACCTTCTACATCCTGAGCCATGTGTTTTCCCTTCCTGTTTCGAGCACAAATGTTTACCTGCAGGAAAAAAAAATTAGCTTCTTAGCAAACATCTGACTAATATTTGAGTACCTAAAACAAGTTTTAGGCTAAATAAGAGGGGTATAGTGGGCATGTAGGGGTTGTGCTCTTATATTTCCTAGGAGTTGGAAAGTACAAAGGAAAAAAGTAGTTAAGTGCAGTAGAACTGCACGTTCAGGCGGTGTGCAAGTGGGTTTACATATCTTTAACTATCTTTAACTACAACCCGGAACGGTGGATGTTACTATCCCATCATGTGCATGAGGAAATTAATGTGCCCAAGGCTTGTAGAGGTGAGAGCAGAATCCGCATTTCAGTGTGTCAGTGAGTAGGTCTTTAAGACTCCAGACTGTTCCAAACACTGGTATATATTACAAGGTTTAAAAAACATTGCCAAAGAAGAAAGAACTTTCACTAATCTCGTCTTTCCTTTTGGGCAGTATTTTCTCTCCAGTTAGTTTATTCTACACAATGACGTTATGTCCTACTACTGGGATCTTACTAAAAATGTCCTCTTCCTAACGCCACTCTAGTTCATTACAGTCAGAAATGACTTCTTTGGGGGCTCTGCACTGTAGCACTGATTTCCAAGTATTCCACAGTATATGGGAAGATGACTAGCTGCTAATCTTTTTTATCTCATTGCATTATGGGGTGTATTTATAGATATACACACATTTATGCTTATTACATTTGTGTATGTATAATATCAGTATATTAGTACTTATATGTTGGGACATGATCAAAAACATTAATAGGATATACAATGTAAAAAATCAGTTTTTCAGTTCTATGAAGTTGTTTAGTTGTATATTGTATCACCGCAAATTGCCTTATATTTAGTGTTATGTATATTTTAGACCCTCCTGGAGTGGTTTCTTTTACCCATATTTGCCATATACTGAAGTGCCTAGTCACAGCTGGGTTCTAAAATTAAACCCTTTCTAGAGTACCTCAGAGTGCAGTGGAAAAATCCTTTCGTAGAAATATGATTACAGATATTTGAGCAGATATGACACAAATTTGAGGAATCAATAATTATGAGAAATAAAGCTTTGTTGGTACATTAGCTTTGAACCTTCTGAATTCCGAGTTTGATAATGGACATCTTGAAAATGCAGTGGAACATTTAAGTGGTAGTGTCTTTCTCAGTTAGGTGCTACATTGGGGCGGATAGTGTCAGAGGTTGCCGCAGAGCAGAACTGGGTATTGTACTTGTGAGCCTGAAGCGTGTAAGGGGAACTGAAATAACCAGGTGTTATGCAAGGGAGAAAATAGAATACGAACCAATAGAGTGTTCTTAGAAAGGGCC